TGAGTGGCGGGGGGGTACGGGTGTGTGTGGGTGGGGGGGGGGCTCTCTGCCGCCTCGTCCGAGAGACGGAGCCGAAGCTGCGGTGCCGGTTCACGAAAAGTTCCCGCACCAGGGAAAACGGGTTTTAAATGCGGGTTCCACCCACGCGCCGGCGGCCGGGAGCGCGGGGCCATCCCGCCCAGGGAAGATGATTCAAGGATTGGAGCATCTCCCTTATGAAGAAAGACTGAGAGAGCTGGGACTCTTTAGTCTGGAGAAGAGAAGGCTGAGGGGAGACCTTATTAATGCTGACAAGTATCTCAAGGGTGGGTTGAAGGAGGAGGGAGGCAGACTCTTTGCAGTGGTTCCCACCGAGAGGACAAAGGGCAACGGGCACAAGCTGGAACATAAGAGGTTCCACTCAAATATGAGGAAAAAACTTCTTCACAGTGAGGGTGACAGAGCCCTGGAACAGGCTGCCCAGGGAGGGTGTGGAGTCCCCTTCTTTGGAGATTTTCAAGACCCACCTGGATGCAGTCCTGAGTAACATGCTCTGACAAGCTCTTGGCAATCCTGCTTTAGCAGGGGAGTTGGACTAGATGATCTCTATGGTCCCTTCCAACTCTAAAAATTCAGTGAAAATTATATATATATATTTGTTATTTTTTTTTCTTCTGGAGGACAGACATGTACAGGAATTAAACATCCTGGGACAAATTGTGACAAGTACAATGCTTGCAACTACTTGAAGGCCAACAAGTTTCCCTGAAAGTTGTCCGTTACTTTTGGTGCTAATCATAGCCCTTTTGTGGTTTGTATGCAGGCACAGGCTTTTCTTCCTCAAGCTATTAAGACACATTTGGAATTTTAACTTTAGCTGCATGACAAGTCCTGTCTTAAAAGCTTGATTAACTAACTTTTTATGGTATAATGTCCTTGACAGCTCTCTCGCCAAGACCAAATTAGTTTAGTCAGCTCTTCAGAAGGTGTTTGTGTTATTTTGCTGCTGTAATTCAAGGCTGTGCAGTAAAGGCAAACCCGAGATAATGCTGTACTAGCCAGTTAGAGTGCCTGTACAGCTCTGATCATGGCATCTTGGATGTTTGTGCTAACTGATAGTAAATTAACTAGCCAATTTTCTATGCAAGTCCTGCAGCCTTTGCTGAGCTGTGGAGGGCCATAACTAGATGGCTACTGGTACTACAGCTGAGTAATTATCCAAAGGCATTGAAACTTACCTTGCACTACAGAGCAAGATAAGTCCCTGTGCTAGTATCACTAAGGAAGCAGAAATCCATGGAGAAGCAGACGTCTGTGACATTTCTTTTCCACTGTGCTGCTTTGGGATTATACACATCACAAAGAAAATTGCATCTTGTCTGGCAAGTCTACCTGCCAGATACAGCTGTTGGGAGAAGAATTGCAGGGCTGGGGCTTTTTGTGTCTCTTACCACTAGGAAAAAAAGGCTTCTGCAGCGCATATCTGGAGGCTGCTGACATCACCTAGTGATGTTTGTTTAAATACATTAGAATTCCAAATCATGGAGAGGTTTGGGGGTTTTTCTGTTTGTTATTTCCCCCCCCAGATCATGAGATCTGATACTTCTCTTTCACCACAGCTTCTCCCTAAATTTCACTTTAAATTTATAAACTTGTTTGTGTTGCAGTGTGTCTTTCAAGCTCCTTTGTTTATATGTTGTGTTTGTCGGAATGGTTTTGTTAAAACATACCTTCCTTATTTATAGGAAACAAAATACCTTTATTTGGAGACTGGCAGACAAAACTGTAAACTGCATATGACTAATAGAAGGGAATGTGTAATGTGGTCTGTGTCGGCTGGGGAAAACTGTTAAGTCTGTAAGATTTAATTGGTCTCCTTGGGGAGTACTACTTCTAGCAAAATCAGTGTTTCTCTCTTGGCTTCCAGAGAGGAAGTAGATTGTGAGAGAGACTGAAATTCTGGGACTTCTGTTTGTGCAATCTATCTGTCAGGTGATCTTCCAAAGATATGGTACTGATAATATCTTTCCTGTGGAAGGCCCAGACATGCACTACTGAATTATTATTTTTTTTTAAATTTTGGTAGTGGGGAGAAACACAAAGATCCCCACCCTGTAATTCTTCTTCCAACAGCTGTATTGGCAGTGGTGGTATTGTGTAGAAGGACACCTGAACTAACCTAATAACTCCTGACACAGTGAAAGGGATAAAAAGGGAGGTAATGGCATAGTAAAAGCTCTTTCTGAGCTACAACTTCATCTATGAAGCTATACTAGTGATAGATTTCTGGTTTAAGGTTTTGCAAATACAACACACTTTTCTGTAACACGGACACCTGAGAAGGTGGCCTTTCCTGTGTGAGCATATGAGCATCATCATGTGACAGGAAAGCACTGATGTATTTTAACTCAAACTTGGCAGCAAAATATATCAGTAAAGCATTGGGTTCACTTTGTTAGAAACAAATAACAAATAAAATGACTGCTGTACAGATCTGTGTGGAGAAAATGTTTCTTTGAGCCTTGTTATGCTCTAAAAAGCTTGCCATTATAAACAACCTTGTCTAGCAAGTGTCATTGTGACTGTCGGCAACTGTGAGCAGGCTTAAGATATAAGAACACCTCTTAAAGAATCACGGTGTCTCTTCAGTGCCTACATACTTAGTAATTAGCTGGCTTCCTGGTAACTTGCTACATGATGAACTGCAATCATTCTGTGGTTTTGGTTAAATGGATACTGCCTTGCCAAGCTGTTTGGTTCAACTGGCAAATTTATTATCTTTCAGTCACCTTTCTACATCCCTCCCCTTACCTGCAGAGAGGGATCACCTTCGGCCCAGGATAGATCTGATTGTGTTCATGATTGACATCAAGAGCAAATACAGGTAAAAGAAGGGTGAACATACGAGGGGAAACTGATACTATTTTTTTATTGGATTGATGGCTAAATCTACATTTTTACTGGGTCAGAATTGCTGAAGAGTAGACTTCAAACCCGAGACTTGCTGCAGTGGAACAGCTCAGTAATGTATACAGTGGTTTTCTGGCCTCCAGCAATGGATTAGGACTGAACTGTTCTGCCCAATAACATGCTTGTTGTGCACTAAGTTACCAAAGCAGAGAAGGCAGAATTTATTCTTGGATCCAGACATGGGATGATTTGAACTGAGCTTTGGAAAGATGCGGTCTGTAAAATTAGATGGAAAGGATGGTGGGGCTGTTAAGTTCTGTAATATGCAGTTGGTTGATGTGTGTCGGATAGTGCTACCTAATAACCATCCAGTGTCCCCAGTTCACTGATACTGGTGGGATCAGCGCTATGGATGTCTCTAGGCAAAACAAAGATCTGCAGGGATTGATCCCTTTTCTCTCATTTTGTGCTCATCTTTGTAGAAATTATATTTGTGTCCCCAGGCCATAAGTAAAGACTTACTAAGGCACAAAAGTCAGCATTTTATTACTTACTTAACTTGTGACTGATGATCCTGGGCTCTCATTTAGCAAAAATGACAGGCCCAGCTGCATACTTACAGCACAGATGGTGCTGCAGAAATGTGTGGGCTAGTTCTTCTGAAAGAGCCGAAGTAGTGCTGAAGTTTCATTGGATGTTAATGAATTCAGATGCTTAGTGTCCGCAAATCACAGAGGGGACAGTTCAAACTAAGTCTAACTGTTGAGTCTTGAGTAGAAAGGATATGCTATGGATTATTAAACAGCTGTGGGTATTGCAGAGGTCTCTGCTGCCATGCTTTTAGCATAGAGCATAACTCTGCCGGCTCACAGATCAGCAAATGTTAACATCATTGGTTTACTAATTGTGCTTCTGAAAGTTATTCCCTTTGTTCTTATGCTGTACTGGTTTTACCTCCCTGTCCAACTGGATTGTCTGTGCTTTTCTGACAGCTTGAAGAATATTGAAGATTCCCTAGCTTATGTGGATGCCAACTTCTTCCTGGGGAAAGTGTGCTTTCTTGTTACTGGGGGTACGTATGGTATCTGCTCTCTTCCTCCTCTCCGAGCAGCACAGCTCACTGTTGCATTCCTTAGAACGGGGCAGTGGCTTAACTTTAAACAAACCAAAGGAGACCAGAGGCTTTGTCAAAAGCTTTGTTTAAATTATATCTGAATTCACCTCTCATTTTTAAATTGTTTTCTTAGATAAAACATGGCTCTCTTCTTGTGCTCGCTTGCTCTCTCCTTTCTGTTTATGCCAGTCAGAACTTTTTTCTCTGTCCCTAATCCCTCAATATGATTTGTGTCACTGATTTCTTTTTTGTTATTTTTTTTTCCTGTGCACTGCAGAAGTCTGTTATATCTGCTCTTGCAGATCTGTCTTAATGATAATCTTAATGAGCAGTGAGGAGCATATGATACTGTGGTAATAAAATGAATTTAAATGGATGAGCTACTAAACTATTAAGTATAGTTTTAATACAAGACTGGTATCCCTGCTGTGTGCTGTCTGGCTCCGATCTGCCTTTCATCTCTCTTCCTTCACCTCAACTCCCCTCCCCAAAAGCAGAGAGAGAGTTCTTTCCTGCACACTCTCCCTACTTCAGCTCTGAAGGACTGGAGGGGCCAGCCTATACTGCTCAGGGTTGGAACAGAGGTGCTGCATCCTTGGAATTTGGGTGTCAGGAGGCCTAATTCTGGGGTGGAAAAGAGTCACAGAATCACAGAATCTTCTAGGTTGGAAGGGACCTTAAAGATCATCTTGTCCAACCATCAACCTAACTGACAAAAATAGACACCCGCACAACAAACAAGAAGCATCACCATCATTAAACCATACCTCCCAGCACTACATCAACCTGTCTTTTGAACACCTCCAGGGATGGTGCCTAAACCACCTCCCTGGGCAGCCCATTCCAATGTCTGATAACCCTTTCGGTGAAAAATTTTTTCCTAATATCCAGCCAGAACCTCCCCTGGCGCAACTTGAGGCCATTTCCTCTCGTCCTGTCGCCTGTGACTTGAGAGAAGAGACCGACCCCCACCTCTCTACAACCTCCTTTCAGGTAGTTGTAGAGAGCAATAAGGTCTCCCCTCAGCCTCCTCTTCTCCAGGCTGAATAACCCTAGCTCCCTCAGCCTCTCCTCGTAAGGCTTGTGCTCCGGACCCCTCACCATCTTTGTCTTGGCATTGTCTTGTGCTATGACTGTCCTGATGGAGTGAAGTCCTTGGAGACATCACCCTGTGAAACCACATGAGCCAGGAGGGCTTCTGATTAATGAGTAGAAGACTCTGCCCCTGCTGATAGTGTACTTATCCAAAATGTTAATGTTACAGTACGCAGTAATGTGGCGATACTATTCCAGCTGTCAGTATTATGAACAATTTCTGTGCTAATTCCATTGCAAATCTTGTACCATTCCGTTTGTATTGCTGACTGTTGCTTTGCCTTCTATGGTGCTCTCAAAATTAGCTCTGGGTTGTTTAGTGGATGTGGAAATTCCTGGTACTTTTCTTATCTGAATGTTGATTATGGGGCTTGTAATATGGGAAAACTTTTTCTGTAGTTGGCAGGGTGAATTGCTGCAGTGTAGAGATGAATGCCATCTGGAAACTGGGAGACACGTACTGCAGTCCTGTGCTATTCTGTGAGCTGGAGGTAAGGAGCTTATTTGGTGTCTAAAGGGATTTGTGAATTCTACTCCTCTCTGATCTTTAGGAACATTGTTACATTAGCAATAAATACATGTACATACGCATAAGTGTCAGGGACCAGTCTCTTTCTGCAAGAGCAGTAGAGGTACAGGAGTCTCACTGTCCTTGAAATGAGTCTTCTCGATTACCTGCTCCTTCCTGTGTTACTTCAAAGCCTCAGGAACCCAAGTCTAAATTAACAAAGACTTCTCTGATATGCCAAGCCTTAGTACATTTGTTCCTTGAGGCGTTTTTGTCTTCCTGGGAGCCCCTGAGCTGTTATTTGCCGTGTGACTCTCTTGCCCACGCAGTAATGCTTCCTGTTAGCCGGGCTTTGTTGCTTCACAGACTGTTTTGCCATTTGATATAACACTCTTTCCAATTACCTGCTTGGTCTGAAAAGCTGGAGGGAGACTTTGGTGTGTAGTGGTAACACACTTCACTTTTCCGTGTACTCATCATTCCACCCTCAGAGGCTGCTTCCCTACCAGCAGGTAATATTTGTGCCTTTGGCAAGCCCTTCAGGGTTTTCAGCTGACAATGCTGTACCTTCCCTAACATTAGGGGAATAAATGGCCCTCTTTGCGAATTTCTGTAGCAAGTAGATCTGAACCATACTTAATGCTGTTTCCAGTTCTTTCTTTTATTGCAGCTAAGCACTGATTTTCTTCTTTTCTCTTGGTTAAATAATTCCTCCATTTTTTTTTTCCAGTTGGAAGGGGTACGAAACGCCACCGCTCAGCGACTTCTCCGGATGTTACAGATCTGTGCTGGTCATGTACCAGGAGTTTCTGCCCTGTTCTTTAGCACACTGATGAAGAAATCTGCTGATGACTAGCTTCTCATTGTGAGAATTCATCCACATTCATTGTGGTTTAGGTTGGTTTTTTTTTTTTTTTTCAGGCATTCAAGCTGCTGTAGTTGAAATCACATTGCGAAGCTTTTTTGCCTGACTTGTTATGACCGCTCATCCAGAGCTGTTACTAGTTGCTAATATCTAAAGAAAAGCTTGATTCCTGTTCAGTGGATAAGGTATAGCTGCTGGGGGGGAAGGTAGTTTGAATTGGGGGTTCTTATCCATTATTACCTCTTCATGATCAAGTTTGAGTTTCACCCACTTTGCCAGTGGCCAGGAGCCACGTATTCTACTGAGAGAATATCAGGAGAACAGGTCAGTGTCCCAAATGCTGGTGCCATGGTTGAGTATCTTAGTTTCAGTGTCCCTGAAGCACTAGAGAAGGAGCAGTAGGCTTCTGCTTCCTTTCAATTTAAATACGGCACCTTGGACCAATGTGAAACATCGCTGCCAGGTTTTGTCTCCCCACCAAGAGAATAATGGGGAAGGAAGGCTGTCCTGCAGCTTCCAGATAGACTGCAATTGGCAGTTAATGATCCAGCTGTGTGAGCATCTGGCCAGTGAAGGGCTCAGTATTTCCATGCCTGATACCTAACTGGGGAGGAAGGGACTAAAAACGATAATCTAGCACTTTAGCTTTCTCTAATATGTTTAAACAAAAAAGCTCCATCTCTCAAGCCCAGGATAACAAGCAACTCTAGTCTTTGCTTGTGATTTGGCAGCTGTGGACTGCTCTGCTGCAAGTCAGTTCCTGCAGATGAAGAAATAATTCTCCAGAGAGGTCAAACCTTTTTTGAGTCAGGAAATGAAGAGGTGAAAAGGCTGTTAGCTGAGAGTGTAGCAGCACTTAGTGTGTTAAAGCCATGGCAGGCAGACCACAGGAAGAGAAACATGCAGCTGCTGGTGGAAATCGATCTTTGTTTCCAAAGTAAAGAGCCACAGAATAGCTTTTTCTCTCTTGTGCTCTCAAAGAGCCAAATCTAAGCTTAGGTGGTGTTGCTGGCCTCCAGCAAGCCTCTGCAAATTGGGCAGTTCAGCTCCAGAGAGCTGCAGAAGTGCATTTGTCTCTCCAGCATCCCTAGGGCTGAGGCTCTGCACTCTGGAGCTGATGGGAGATGAAACACAGCAGACTGAACTACAGCAGCATACGTAAAACACATGTTGTGTCTTGCAAGGTGGCCATGTGCTGTGTACAGTCCCTAAACTAATAGGTTCTTATCCACAGTAATTGATGCCTTATTCTTACTGCAAGTCAGATTGTGTGTTTTGGATTTCTAAGTTAATAAAATGTATAATATTTCATAATTAGTTGTGTGGTCTTTGTTTAGGAATGTGGCACGGGCTCTAAAACCTATGAACACTTGCCCCTGTTTGAACTTCCAGTCAGCTGGTGGGTTGCAGTCACGGTTTCAACCACGTGGTGGTGGCAAAAGCTTTCCAAATACAGTCCTTCCTGTGCTGAGTTGAGCCAGAATACAGTGTTTCTTGAAAGGCTGGGATATTTCTTACCCAGAATTGCGTGCCAGGTAGAAATGAAGCCTAGAGAGAATGTGTTAAGCTCCCCTCTGGTTTAATTTATTTAATCCCTAATAGTCTGCTTTAATGTTCCTAGGTGCAGAGCTCTAGCTGTGTGTGCTGTTTCGCTTAGCTTGTTTCTGACATCTGTCTGTGAGCAGGAAAAAGCAGAAAGCAGCACTGCAGGCTTAATCAGCTGTGAGCGTTGGCAGTCCTTGCAAAGACAGCTCAGCAAGGCACAAAGCCTGTATCCTTGCTCAGAGGACACACGAATCCTAGCTCCAGTTGTATTGCTGCTGGCAGGGGAGGGCTAGGTTGTTTGTCAGCTGGAACAAAAGGAACTAAACCATTCAGCTGTGTTATGGTGCCTAAAAGGGCTGGACTCTGGCTAAAACCCAAAGGAGAAAGGCATGTGCAAACTCTTGTGGCTGCGTAAGAAGGATTGGGAGCTTAATGGGCCTGTCCTACTTTCAGCTAGCTTTGTGATCCTGAAGTACTAGCCAGGCCTTTGCCACTAGAGAGGGGCAATCATGCTGAGAAACAAGTTTCTCGGTTGGTTATGCTGTATCAGCCTCGCTCTCGCTTTGGGTCCCTCAAAATAAATGAGACCATGGTTTAGAATAGACTGGTTTCGATTTGCTCTTGATGTGCAGGTGCAGTTTGGGGGAGGGAAGGAAGGGCTGCGGCATGAAATGAGCCAGTCTTTCGTGTCCTCCGCAACCGCTGTAAGGTAAGGAGACTCTTCCGTCTCCTGGGTCGCTCTCCAGTTGCCTCTAATAACTATTGGACTCTGGTAAAATCCCTTCAGCCTCAAGAGTAATTTCGCTGCGCTTTCTTAACTGGTGAAAATGAAACTTTCTTTGGTTCACCCAGAATGCTTTGTAGCAGCCCACACGTGCTACTGTCCATTCCTGCACCTTCAACCATCGGGTTTTTTTCCACTGCTGTGTTTCAGATGCGGTGTTTCTTTCCTTCCACGACTTTCAAAGAAGAGAGATGCTGTTTGTACTTCCTACAGGTGGCCGAATCCCAGCTGGTACAAAATAAAATCTAGTTCCTTAAGAGCAGCATCTCGCTTCACCTTGGGGCAAATATTTTTCTTACTCTTAGGAAAAAGTCTTTACTAGAACTGGCAGGGGAAGTGGAGCGTATCTAAGAATATGACACTGTGTCTCAGGTCCATCATGTTTTACAACCAAAAGTAGTTGGGACACATCTAAAGCTACAGCTTCAACTATGTAAATACCTCTAGGAACTGTCAGCTATTAGTTCAGACAGGCCATAACACTGCCCCTACCAGAGAAGACAAGGCAGCTGAGGATATCTTTCATCTGGATGGAGTAGCCAGGGCTAATGTTTGATAAAGGTCTTGTGAAAGTAGTACTTGGATTGGGATCAGAGGCAGGGAAGGCCTGAAGCCGAATTAAGGCTAGTGACTCAGGTTCTGTTGTGTTCAAACGCCGTGAAAGAGCTTGCCAAGCTGGCTGAAATCTAAACTAGCAGAAATATTTTGGAGTTACGCACTTTCTCTTCCTCTCTCTGTTGCCTCAGTTCCTTCTCCCTGTGGAGATTTATGAAGAGAAATCCCCCTCTCTGTGGCAAAAGTACCCGTGAGCGTTGCTGGTTTGACTGCGTGTTTTTGTTTGTCAGTTATGTCAGCAAAATTACTGTAAAAGCAGTTTAATGAGTCTAGAAGATCTTGCACTAGTTGCACTGGCGTAAGCTTCGGTCATGCAGTGATTTTTTTCATGTGGAACTGAATGAGGCTGTAATATGGTCTCTTCTGCTACGGCAGGCTGACCCACAGGATTTTACTCTCAGTCCAGTCACCTGAAGAAGATTTTTGTATCCTCAGGCTGCTAGCTGAGCAGCTCACAGAGGTGCTCTGTAAGGGATTTCAGCACAAATCAGCTTGGTTGGCATTACCTGTTGGGATTATAGCTCTCTTCTAGCACCAATTTTCCAAGGGAAGGGTAGTTTTTTGTTGATTTTGCCATACCAGTAGTTAAATCACATCAACATCTAAACATGATAAGACATGATATGCTTCGTCTACACTAACAACAGAGAAAGTCCGTGTACTGATACGGTGCCTATAGTAAAAGATCTCTCTGTCCTGGAACAAAGATCAGAGATAAATCCAGCCCTGGGGATTTATCTGTCCCTCCAAACCTTGAAACTGGTGGTAGAGGTTTAGATGCAAGGTCACCTCTAATATTTGCTTTGGGGACTGTTTAAAACTGGATGTCTCTGCTTGCCAAGACCTGTAGTCTGAAGGGACCATCTGGGTTAGGCCAGTGGTGGCACTCAGCATCTGTGGTCACGCTGTAAGAGGTGCGTGGTAGCTCTCATTGTAACTACTGTCCACAGCAGCAGTGGATAAGATGGGCCTCCTCTGCTCTGCTGACAAAAGCAAGGGGGACTCTTCTGTGGGGTTTTTAATTTGTCTCAATTTTGCAGGAGCACCAGGCTTTGCTTTGGCCACGTTCCAGCTGCTCTGTCTCCATTCAACTGGCCCAGATCCCCTGGCAGTCTTCTCTGCGTGCTGAGTGTTCTCCACTTCCCACCCTGAGCTGGTGTGCGGTGTTGCTGTGGGCTGCTGAACAACTGCCACTTTCCATTCAGTGACCAGCTGTCCTTCACTAGTGGGGAAAAGTGATTTATATGCAAGAGAAAGCAATAGCTGGCACAGCCCAGAGCTGGGAGCCAGAAACGCTGGGCTCGTTTCGCCTCTGCGGCTGATTTCTTGCATGACCCTGGGCACGTGTGTTAAAATTCACTGTGCCTCGCTTGCTCTGCCTCTACTGGAGAGGTGTGATGAGGGCGAATTGACATTGCTTTGGGGTCACAAATGTGGAATTGGATGGAAACATTCAGAAGAAACTTTTTTTTAAATTTTTTTTTCGCCCCTAATTAGCAGAGTTTGATTTTTAGTGGAGTTCTGAGGGAGGAGGGTTTGGTGGGACCTGCCTGCTGGGGACCTCCTGAGATCAGATGTGTTTTGTGCTCCTTTCCTGCCTGGGTATGCGGCAGGCAGGGAGGCTGCCTGAAACTGGGCTGCATTCCTTCTCATAAGGCATTGAGACACAGTTGGGTTTTGTTGTGAACTGGAACAAAACCACCCTTTGAAACGCTGAAATTCCCCGCTCAGTACAATTATCCTTGAGTTGGCCGGTGGGAGAAATCAAAGTCTCTGGATCTCTTCCTGGCCGTTAAATATTAATAGGGCGCGGCGATGCTAGGCAGGATGGCATCCCCTCGGGTCGGCGCTGCGCAGAAGGGGCCGTCTTGGCTGTGAAGAACCGGTGCGTGAGAGAGGATGGGCGCAAGGGACTGGGGAGTGATGTGACTTGTTTGGACTCCTTGGCAGCTGAGTGGCGCGGGCTCCTGGCCCGTGCTGGGCCACGTTTCCCTTGCTGGGGGGCTCCTTCTGCCGGAGGTGACACGTGCCGTGATGCTGACAACCCTCACCCCCCTTGAGCTCGCCGTGCGGTGGGGTGTTCTGCGAGGAGCCAGGAAAGGCGCCGTGACCGTCCCCCCCACCCCTGCCGCCTCCTTTGCCGAGGGAAGTCAGCGGTGTGTGAAAGAGAAGCCCGTGTTTTACATACAGGCTGCCTCCCCGCCGCCGGCCCAGGTGCAGCTGCGGGCTGGGCGCGAGAGCCCCGGGGGCTCTGCACGTCACGGGAAGGAGCACTGAGGTGGGTGAGGACAAAAACAAAGAGAGAAGCCACCTCCCCTTGGGAAACTTGGCCTCAGTGCACAGAGGCTGCTCCGTCCTTCGGATCCTGCCACCCTCTCAGCACTACAGCAAGCTGTGCCAGGGCCAGCTGAAGCACCCGTGCTCTAGGGCAGTTTGCATGACGGACTGAGGCAAAGGCACACTGGTGAGCACTGGGAAAGACCTAGAAAGTCCAGTTAAATTAAACACACTAAGGGGGCTTCCCCCGTTTTCTGACAGCTTGGAGTATTTTCCTTTCCTGTCTTCCCATGGAAGCTCTTCAGTCCCACCGTGTGCCCGCCCTGCAGTGACAGGGTGATGGTGCTGCAGCTGGGTCTGCCTCGCTCCTGCCCTGCTGGCCATGTCTCAGTGCTCGGGTTGACAAAACACCTCGAGTATTTACTGAGGGTCTGCAGTCCTTGAGGCACTATCACTGTCTGTGCTGGTCAGCTCAAAGCTCTCCTGAACCTCTGTGCTGGCTGCTCTCCTAGGTTTGACAGCAGTGTTGGCATCACCCCAGTGTATTTGCTTTGGGGACTGTTTAAAACTGGATGTCTCTGCTTGCCAAGACCTGTAGTCTGAAGGGACCATCTGGGTTAGGCCAGTGGTGGCACTCAGCATCTGTGGTCACGCTGTAAGAGGTGCGTGGTAGCTCTCATTGTAACTACTGTCCACAGCAGCAGTGGATAAGATGGGCCTCCTCTGCTCTGCTGACAAAAGCAAGGGGGACTCTTCTGTGGGGTTTTTAATTTGTCTCAATTTTGCAGGAGCACCAGGCTTTGCTTTGGCCACGTTCCAGCTGCTCTGTCTCCATTCAACTGGCCCAGATCCCCTGGCAGTCTTCTCTGCGTGCTGAGTGTTCTCCACTTCCCACCCTGAGCTGGTGTGCGGTGTTGCTGTGGGCTGCTGAACAACTGCCACTTTCCATTCAGTGACCAGCTGTCCTTCACTAGTGGGGAAAAGTGATTTATATGCAAGAGAAAGCAATAGCTGGCACAGCCCAGAGCTGGGAGCCAGAAACGCTGGGCTCGTTTCGCCTCTGCGGCTGATTTCTTGCATGACCCTGG